AACCTTAAAAGTTTTACTTTTGTGTGCAAATTGTGTGGATTGTACTGATCCCTATACTATAAATAAACCATTTCCAAATGTAATTTTACGAACGTATTTCAACATTTCATAGAAAAGAGGGTTCAATGTTTAATGATAAATTCACCAAATACGGCTCTTGAAAAACAAACTCAAAATAATAGCTATAAGTGTGACAAATAATGATGCTTAATTTTTCAATTTTCAGGTCAATCACCGCGTTAAGTCACTTAAGAATACAAATTTAGAACATAAATGTTGTCTTAATTTATTAAGTTAATAATCACCTAATGGACGAATAAATTTCACGTGTTGGAGTTTGCTACACCTTAAATTTCGTGGGAAAACTGCGGTGTTTGTGATTCTCTTTCATAGCTCCGTGACGATCGTTGAACTAAATATATTCTTAATTTTATTATTTTTTACAGTTCAGTCCAATCAGCCTTATTTTATACTAATTAGCGTTGACACAAGATTTGAACAACTCTTTTCGGCAAAAAATAAAACAAAAATGCAAAGTGAAATTTATAAGAGCATTCCATTTGCTGATTTATATTAATTAATTATATGTTTTCTCCAATATTTTGGGTCACACGACTAATAAATTTTCTCCATTTACCAGAGTAATCATTTTGCGGACCCTTCTTCTGTCATAGCCTAAGGCACATTTTAAAATTAGTGAGGTGTATTTAAGAGTTGAAAAAAAGTTTGGAGCATAAATGTGTAGATTTTTAAATAAATCTTTTAAGTCCCCTAAACAAAATTAAGTTTAGTTTTAAATTATATATTACATATTTTTGTATTTTTTAGTCGTTAGTGACTACTTAACTAACTGCAAAATAATATTTTCAGAATATGGATATCAAATAATTAACTAGATATTTCAAATTGTTTATATAAAGCAAATTGTTTTTTTTTATGACATATAATGACAGCCTTCGATTGTTTTTATTTTAATATCTAGAACGAATCAATATATTTATATATTTTTTATAATTTAATACAAAAATAAAAATATATTAAAAATCGAATAAAATCATTTTGTTAAAATAAAATATCAACCTGTGGGGTCATGAGTCAACTTCAGGCAAGTCGACCTAAATGAAATGTTTGATTTGACTAAAATTTTGAATATGAAAATGGATCTAGGAAAAATAGCTGATTTAGGTATATTATAACCTCAGTAGTTAGGAATATCTTGAATATAATTATTTCTTGGTAAGTTTCGTCTGTTACACTTACATGAGCCTTTTAATTTATTGAGAGAAAATGGAATTATCATTTTGAAATTATCTTTTATTTTTTAATTTCTAATTCGTAGAAAACATTGCCATTGCCCTTTGTTTCTAAAATGTACAAATTGTGTTGACTTTTATGTGAGAACTTGAGACAATCTACAATTTATTGATAACTTTACAATTGCAGAAAAATCACACCGTAAATATCGAATTTTCAGAAATGGAGACATTTTAGGAAAAATTTGTGAATTTTTACGTTTTTCAGTGTAACTTATATTTTTTTTAATATTTCTAGATTTCATAATGTACATTTCCAATTTTTATTTTAGGTTCACTTATGATTTTGACTCACGATGTAGTATGATTTATATTATAAGTTCTTAAAAATTCTACAGATTGTTTTATCTTAATGAGATTAACTTTAATTGATTTTTAATAAACTTAATTAATTATATTATTTAAATTAAATTATGAAAAATATCGTGTCTCTCTTTTAGCCCACATATTTTAAAATCACTAAAGATAGACCCTTTAGCAACAAAATAAAAATATCTAAGAAATATATAAAATTAAAAAAAGTAATTTTAAAATCTTCTGAAAAAGCTTTGGACACCTTGTATAAAATGTTATCGTTCTATTAGTACTGTGAAGTAGTGAATAGACGAATAATTTGAAAATGAACGCAACATCTAGAAACAAAATAAAGTTAAAACTATATGAAGACTGTTCAAATTTGAGTTAACTTTTTAAATTTGCTGCCATTTGTGTTTTTTGTATTAGAATAATTTTAGTTTTTCTGACAGTTGTTGAGTAGGAACATGACGGGTGTGAATAGAGCAACGGTTTTCCAGCAACGGCTTTTCAGATTTGATTTTTGTTCATGTGGTATTGTGGTAATGCCCTTATAATTTTCAACATTTATGGATTCAAATAACTCGAAAATCGGATTAATATACGGGGTATATATTTCCAGTTCTCGTACCTAAGGGTGGATGCCGCCCTTACGTGAATATTGTAAATTTATATATTATTTCATGATGTCTGTTAAATTTCTCTACGTGAATAGCTTAAATTACCCCTTCTACAAAGTTCTGTATGTTTTTATAAATGCCCGGGCCGTATTAAGGGTGGCACCCACCCATATGTATAAAAAATGGTTATAAAAATTATTTGTTGATGTCTGTTAAATTTTTATACGTGAATAGCTTAAATTATCTCTTCCAACAAAACCCTGTATGTTTTTGTATATAACTGGGCCGTATTAAGGGTGGCAGCCACCCTTATGTATAAAAAATGCTTATAAAAATTATTTGTTGATGTCTGTTAAATTTTTACAAGTGATTTTCACCACCAAGAACGGCGGTGACAACATTTTTAACATTAAGGAGATGTTTCGCATTATATTAGCTATGTCCCGTACAAATTTAGTTTCGTGCAACTCTCTCAGTTTCGAAAATACAATACCTGTGTATGTTTTCAGCCACGAAATTTGAATAATTCCAAATATTTCAAATATTCGCCACCACGAACGGTGGTGACAACATTTTTAACATTAATTCGATGTTTCGCATTGTATTAACTATGTCCTGTACAAATTTAATTTCGTGCAACTCTATCGATTTCAAAAATACAATACATATGTATGTTTTCAGCCATGAAATTTGAATAATTCCAAATATTTCGAATTTTCACCACCAAGAACGGCGGTGACAACATTTTTAACATTAAGGCGATGTTTCGCATTGTATTAACTATGTCCTGTACAAATTTAGTTTCGTGCAAATCGCTCGGTTTAAAAAATACAATACCTATGTATGTTTTCAGTCATGTAAACTTGAATAATTAAAAATATTTCGAATTTTTACCACAAACAACGGCGGTGACAACATTTTTAACATTAAGGCGATGTTTCGCATGGTATTAGCTATCCTGTAAAAATTTAGTTTCGTGCAACTCTCTCGGTTTCAAAAATACAATACCTATGTACGTATTCAGCCACGAAATTTGAACAAAAGGTCTTTATTGTTAAAATTATTTTAAATTTGGTGAAAGTTGTGCAGAAATTGGAAGAAAATATCGTATAAAATACCTATGGAAATAATACCTAAAAGAAATCAAATTTACGGTCGTAAATGTTGCAGCTGTTAACCAAACACATTAATTCATCATCGTTCACAAGAACTAGGCATTATATAAACCCTTTTAATCAATATTTTGTATAAGGATCATCAATAAAGGCATCCAAAATACAATTAACAGAAGAATTATTGCCAACTGATCCTGGATTGCGTTGTACATTTGTCAATTGGGCTCTTGCAATGAATGTAGAAAATGATGATTTTTTTTAACGAAATCAGCTTTACTGATGCAGCTCATATTGAAATTGGCGGATATGTAAATAAACAAAATTGTCGTATCTGGGGTGAAGAAAATCGACAAGTAACATTGGAACAAACAATGCATGCAAAAAAAGTAACTGTCTGGTATGGTTTTTAGTCTGGTGGAGTGATATTTCTTCGAAAATGAAGCTGGAAACGTTGTTGCTGTGAATGATGCTCGCCATAGAACGATGATTAATAACCTTTTATGGGACGAATGGAGCGTATTAATGTGCAGAATATATGCTTTCAACAGGACGATACAACATACCATACAGCAACGGAAACAATCGATCTTTTGAAACAGAAATTTGATAGTTCAATTATTTCTCGAAGAGATGTTAATTGGCCATAAGATCATACGATTTATCAGCAAGACTTCTTTTTATGTTTTTTTTAAGACCAAAGTTATGTTGACAATCCTCAAACCATTTCAAACATTTGAAAAACATAATTGAGCATATCACTCAAATTAAACCACTATTATGTGAACATGTGATCGAAAATTTTGCTAAAAAGTTGAAAGCTTGTAGAGCCGCAAGAACTGGTCTCTTATTCGTGATTCTTCTCTATTATTAACAGCAACATATCTATTTATTTTGAATCAATTATGTTTTATTAAAAAATAAAAAAGTTAACACAAATCTGAACACTTAAGGAAGCGTTAATTGAAACAAGGAAATTCATGATTTTATTTAAAAATTATACACGTTGATACTCCACATCTTTTTTGGGATACACCCTGTATTCATGTGTTTCCGAACACGTTACTATTATTAAAATATGTTTTTTCGGCTCCTTTGCCAAATGAACACATTGTAATTATATGCATAATAAATCACAACTCTTTAGTTGTTTCTTCAATTTATTTAAATATTGCTCTCCTTGATTTCATTAACAATTTGGATACTGCAGTTCGTACCAAATAAGAAGAGCCACTTTACATAAGACAAAATACAACATACACAAGAGCATATAATAAAAAGTATAAATCTGAGATCTACATCAGTTTTGGCGTCATTAAGAACTATATTTCAAAGAATTGCACAAAGGTGTTGGTATTGCGTTTGTAAGTTCCGTCGTTAACATCAAAGATGACTTATCAGTATTGAATGCTACTGCTGTGTCGTTGCCTTGAGCTGTAGAATAAGCTGTAATAAAGGACTACTTAATAAACAAAATGTAAATCGCGACTACCCAGAAATCTATTACTAGAAGTGGAAGTATAAAAATAGAATCTATAAATGAAAAATATAATAGTCGTAGGTATCTATTTGTTTTCATAACGCATGTAATATACAATTGCCGAGACAATTGCTTGTATCTATCTACACTACAAAAAAATAAAAGAGAAAATGACACTTACGCTTTTTTAATTTCTGCAGTTGTGGCACTTTTTGACACCTCGAGGACTCTGTAGTAGTCCACCATCTTGGTGCCACTTGAATCCTTATGCCCCAGTTTTAACGAATATTACTGAAACAATAGATAAAACACAGTTTAATCAGTGCTACCTATACGTAATATGGTGCAGGATATCCCTCCTAATTTTTTATGGCTTTCGGGGTCTAATGATTTTATGTTTACGATGATCGTAAGAGACTATTTCATACTTATAATTTTTAATTTATGAAAATCGAGGAGGCCTTGAAAATGCCTGATTTGAAAATCAGTCAATTACTGACACTGCTGACAATAATGGAAAATAATAATCTGCTTGTTATTTTCCCAATTTTTGGCATAATGTAAAATTTTCACAATTTTAGACCCCTAAACATGTTATTTACTATAAATAATTATAATCGTCAATTTCATGAAAATTCAGATACAGTAGTCAATTACTTAAGGCTAATACAAAAATCCTAAGTAACTTTCGAAAGTTGCTTTAAAAAAAATGGCGAAATAATTGAATCATCGTAAATGGTTCTGCAAGTACATCTAGTAGTCTATTATATACAGGGTGTTCAGGAAATGATGGTCAATTTCTCAGATTTGGGCACGTCTTGCAAAAATAACGCACAGTTTTACATACTTTTACATTATTCAGGCACACCCACCTCTTAAAACTGTTGAAAATCAATTTATCGTTGTAACTTTTTTGTTTCCTTTTAAATTAGGATAATTTTTGAGTAAAAGCTATGTTGTATTCAATTTACAGATAGTTACTTGAGAGGTTTTGGGGTAAAGTGTTTGTTATCGATACAACTAATTGTTTTCGAATTAAACCCTTTTAACGGTACAGATATCATACTACATGCGGCAGATCTTAATAGTAATAATACCTGAAAACAACAAATAACATTTGAAAAGTACTAACTTTGCTGCATAAATGATTAATTTTTGTTTTCGTGTATTTATTTATTATTTTCGTCGTTGAATGCGTTTATCTTGGGAATGGTTAGTTGTATCGAAATCAGAAACAAGTACACCTTTTTCACTTCAAGTACGAAAATCTTAAAAACGGCGATAAAAAAATAAAAAGTTGGATTAGATATCTTCTTGGGGGCCAAGACCGCAGAGGGCGCTTCGCTACTCTGCAGACTGATTTCTTAAACACCCTGTATATAAATATTCATTTGAGTCGTGCGGCCAAAAAAAATTAGTGGTGGTCTAGTTCTTAATGCCACTTAATGTTGCCACCAAAAATTAAATATCTAAGGATTACCTTATTTTTTTAATTTTTTAGAATAGACTATCTAATCATAAATACAGAAACAACATGAGGGGAAGGCAATATATACCTAATAAATATAAAAAATAATTAGACATAATTATTAGCTATAGTCTGTTTAGAAATGAAAGAGAGTAATAAAAGCTTATTATGTATGCAAATCGTAAATAAATGTAGTACTGGTGCTTATATTCAATATTTTTATATTATGTATTATCGGTATAGATGAGGTGTACTTTTAAAAAAACTTTGTGTGACCGGGTTGTACTAAATTGTAGCAGGTAGCTAAAATTTAATCCCCGACAATCCGTCTTTGTCTATGCCGCTTCAATTTCTCGGTCCATTTCTCTTATAAGTAAACAATATAAAAACAGCATTTCAAAACATGAGGCTACTTTAAGCATCATAACCGGGTTAAGAGGGTTTTTAGTAATTCAAATAAAATTATTCAATATTATTATCAAAATATTTATTTAAATTTAATGAATAGACTTTTATTCCACACAAAAATATATGTATTTTGAAAATTCAAATTATGGTGAGTAAATGTAGTGTTGTATAAATGTACAATAAAGAAAATAAAAAAGTAGGTATATTAAAATTCATCCTCTGAATATTCTGATGAATTATCTTCGTCTCCTAGATTGATAACGATAGGTTCCACAGTAACGTCAATTAAATTATCGAGTTCCCACATTTTCTCCTCTTCTTTTTGTACATGATGTATACATCTTTGCCAGTTATCTGCAGTTACTCGTTCCAAGGAATTTTTTAACAAAATTTTCACGTCACTTAATTTAAACGTCGTATTATTTCGCGCTACATCTCCTTTTACCTGCGCCCAGACTAATTCGATTGGGTTAAGTTCACAGTGATAAGGTGGTAACCGTAGTACCGTTATTTGGCGATTTGTTGCCATTTCATCGATAACATATTTTTTCTGATCTTTATTAAGATTGACAAGTGTCAAAAGTTCCTTTTTCACCATATTTGTTTCAAAAGAAATGTTTTTTCCGGATAACCATTGAATTATATCGGCTTTCCTCCAAGCAGTCGTAGGCGTCCGCTCGGTCTGCCGTGAATGGTAACTGGCATTATCCATGACAATTACAGACCCCGGAGGAATAAGATCCAACATCTGTGTAAAATACTCTTCGAAAACATCTGCGTTCATGTCTTCGTGATAGTCACCTGTATTTTTAGATTCAAATAAAAGTAAACCGCCATCTACAAAACCACTGGCACTACCTATATGTGTCACTATTAATCTTCGCCCTTTACCTGAAGGTGCCTTGAACCCTGTTGAAAGTCCATCCAAAAATGCTTGTCGAAAACTTTTTACATTTTTATCTTGCCATACTTTTGTTACAGTATATCCCTCGTTGACCCAAGTTTCGTCTAGATAATAAATATTCCTCCCTTCGTCACGGAATTTTCTAATTGATCTTAAGTAGGATCTTCGCCAACAAATAATTTCATCTTTATCGATAAGAACTGACTTCCTGTTCTGCTTTTCCCAGCAAAAATTCAACTCTCGTAAGACGGCCCATAATTTGCTTCTACTGATTTTTGGCAAATCGTTGTCCTCTGAAAGTTCACTTAAAATTTTGTTTAGCGTTGGTATTTCTTTTTTAAAATAAAATGAGTGTACTTTTCTGCGAATGACATTTTTGAAGAAATCATCTATAACGACTTTTGACCTCCCTGTAGATGATTTTGGGGGATTTACAGTATCTTGTTCATTTTTTGTTTCCTTTAAAAGTCTGTAGATAGTCGATTTTCCAATCCCTGTCATTTTTGTTAGCATTAGTGTTACCCGATAATTACCTGAAACGAAATATTACCACGCCCATGGCCGGTTCTTATCTCGGGGTTTTATTATTCTCTTTCATTTGCAAACAGACTATACATTTAAATTGTGTTTAAAAATGGAGGTAAAATACCTTTGAAATGAAGATAATAATTAATAATTTTTTATAAAATATTGCATCTCCATCTACAAACAACTTTCTTTGACATATTTTTTCATTAATTAAGCAATTAAGCAATTATTTAAAATGTTCTATTCGTTTTTAATAAATATCCTTTAAATCAAGTCAGTTTCCGTCGAGGTTATAGTCACCTACAAAATATTTTGTTTCGACAAAAAAATTACAATTTATGTAAAAAAGAAATTTTAACCAGTACCTAAACGCTTGTGAAATATTAATTGTAGTCACGCATTAACAGCAACGGCTATTTCTGGTTGAACTGGTGACTTTAAGCATTTAACCTTCGTATTCCAATGTTTCCTTATTTTAAATTACTTTTAACTGTTGCTTTGTTTAAAATTTTATGAGGATCATATGCTGTGATCATATGACTACTCTTAATATCATATATTCAGGGGAATAAATATTCCCCACTTTGAATAATTCCTTTATGTAGGATATTTTTTAGTTTACAAGTTCAGGAAGTTGTTCTTTAGGTAATTTTGAATCCTTACAGGGTGTTGGATAATAAATATGTATATTGCAACATCTATGAACATGTTTAACGACATCGATCAAAATTCTAGATTTTTTAATGACAGTGTCTCCCGGTATATTCGACATCCCTGGTTGATGGTTCATTTATATGTCATTGCCACGAATTTCTGTCTTTAATAAGATACATTATTAGTTCTCGTATTAGAACAATTTTCATCAATCTAGTTCAAACGAAAACGAACTACTTTAGGCTTTCGGCTTTTTGGTCTAAACTGATTCAAATTCATGACTGAAACTCTCAAATTATGACTTAAAAAACAATTTAAAAAAATGTAACAAGGTTTTGATGCAGCACATTACTTCAATTATACAATTCCGTTTTCCTCATATCTTTATAAAAATTGTGTTATGTGACATATATTTTTAATTTTCTCTTAATTTCCTTTATTTAATTAACGTTTACCTATATGGATTTATGACATGTACAGAATCTTCATTCAAATGATTAAAAATTACGTAACCGGCCAGCTTAGGCAACCAACAATGTACGGTTGGTAACGTCAACTAAAAGAAACAAATTTCTTATCAGAAGAACGGTCTCCCATTCAACTGAGATTTGGGTAAAACGTGCACTATACCGATTTTCAACAAGTATACCTTTTTTATGTAGAATTGCCCATGGAATCTAAAAATGAATCCCAAATGATTATTAGAAGTTGGGTTAAAAAAATCCCGCTTTACTTTTACAGTAAATTAAGCACATGTGTAAATGTTAACACCACACTAAATTTGAATCAATTTTTTACAAGCATATCAAAGATTTCGTAAATGATATGATTTTAAAAACCGACCAATACGGCCCTGTACAGTGAAAACGGTGAGACTTAGACCCTTGCTTTATAATGCTAATTCTGAATTATTTATTGAGTTCTATTTGTGGTTAAAGTTTGATTCACTCGAACTGAAACACCCTGTATAATTTTGTTAAATTTAACAAACATGAATTTCAGTAAATTATAATTCAAGGCGATTCACAAATAGTGACCAAAAATGAAATTTCGTAGTCTTTGGTGAATTTTAAGGGGTCTTTCCTATAAAGTTTTTATCTAGACCGCTTCTTAAAAAGATACAGGGTGTTAAACTTAACAAAATATAATTAATTTTTTTAAATAATTTAAAAACTAGTAAGTGAAATAATTTGAAATGGGGCACATGTATTTATGTAAACATTGTCCAAAATTTGAGACATTTCCTAAAATTTACATGCTCCAGTGTCGCAGAGACAGGGTATCGGTGGCATATTTTTCTAAATAAAATAGTACGCCACTGCTTTATCA